ATTAAGAAAGCAATCCCATTTACAACTGCATCAAAAAGAATAAAATACCTAGGAATAAATTTAACCAAGGAGGCTAAAGACTTGTACTCTGAAAACTATAAGACATTGATGAAAGAAATTGAAGATGACACAAATAAATGGAAAGATATACTGTGCTCAAGGGTTGGAAGAATTAGTATTGTTAAAATGTCTATACTACCCAGAGCAATATACAGATTCAATGCAATCCCTACCAAGTAGCAATGGAATTTTTTACAGAACTAGAACAAAGAATCCTAAAACTTTTATGGAACCACAAAAGACCCCAAATAGCCAAAATAATCTTGAGAAAGAACAAAGCCAGAGGTATCATGCTCCCTGATTTCAAACTATATTATAAAGCTAGAGAAATCAAAACAGTATGGTACTGGCACAAAAACATACACATAGATCAATGGAACACAATAGAGAGCCCAGAAACAAACCCACCCATTTATGGTCAATTAATCTATGACAAGGGAGGCAAGAATATACAATGGAGAATAGACAGTCTCTTCAATAAGTGGTGTTGAGAAAACTGGACAGTTACATGCCAAAGAATGAAACTACTCTCACACAATATGCAAAAATAAATTCAAAATGAGTTAAAGGCTCATCCCATCCTAGACTTGGCACAGTGCTCCAAGCAGAGATCAGGCTCTGGAAAAAAGTTCTGATTGGAGTTAGGAACAGACAGATGGATGGGAGGATGGGAAAGGAAAGTGGTGGGTTCCAGGGTAGGTACAGCACTGCTCAACCTTTTGACATTTTAATAATAAAGACATGCATTTTCTTTGCATCTTAGTTCATCACAAGTAATTATTTGGGTCCTGAACCTTTCAGGACACTTTTAGGCAACAGGAAGGGTCTGTGCGCCCTTAGAACTGTGGCTTTTGTCATCACTCCCTGAATTCTTCATTTCTACAGGGAGCACAGCAGTCAGAAGAGCTAAATTTAGCTGGTTCTCATAAAAGAAAACGGGTGGTTCAGGGTCAGTAATAATCTCTGTAACCAAAGACAAACAGAGACAGATGACCGTGTCTTTGTGCTTGAAAGCCAGGATCTAGAAAATGTAAAGCAGGTGGCTCTGGACTAGATCTCAGGTGGGAACTGAGCAGATGCCTAATTAAAAGGTGACAATAAAGAGATTGATTTCTTCCATTCTTTGTTTCTTGCTCTTAAAAAAAGAGTAACTTGAGCTTCAAAGTTGAAGCTTGACGTGCAGCCCAGCTGGTCGTTTTCTGGGCCAGATGTTACAGTAGACTAATGAACGTTAGGTATTAGAAAGGAGGGTGCAGATTTGAGGTTCCGAAGGAATTTCCAAATAACATTATCAGGACCTAAATGTTACAACACTGAATTTTTAATGGATGGGTAATGATTTATACTGGAATATTCATTATATCCTTCATGTTTGATTTGTCAGACTATTTAGAAGATGCCTCTTGAAGCAGACTAAGTTGAGACTAAAATTCCTACCTGAATAAAGATTTAATTTATCATAAATTTAGTTCAATAGTATATTAAACTATTATCTGTTTCAAAAAAAATAAGGCCTGAAATCTCGTTAAATAGCTAGAAAGACCTAGAAGTATATAAACACACAGATGCTATCAGCTTGGTAAAATTACTGATGTAATTGGTGTTTTATTGCACAGATAACCTTTCTACACAATGTAAGTTTCATAACACAATTCATTTTTTAAAGGCTTAAGAATCAGAATCTTTTTCCCAGTTATGATTTGTCGATCTGCTTCTGAATTAAAATGAACGAATAAACAAGACCACAGATACGTCAGCTGGAAAAGAACGTTTTATGGCACTTGGGGAGTTGGTTCTTGACTGAGGTCTGCTCTCTGTAAAATTCAAGAACAGGGGCAGAGCCTCCCACCCATGCCCCCTGGGGATTTTTAGGGGGAATCCTTGGGTTTGTGATGCCCTTTAAAACAGCAAACTTGAGCCTCATTAACAAGTCCATGAAGATTAGGGAAGACTCCTGAGCCTTCTCCAGGGATTAGTTGCTACTTTGAAACTATGCTAGATTTGAAAAGGAATTCTCCCAGGCACCAGAGGATTGATTAATCTGCCATTTCTCCACTGAGATAAATGAAGGAAGAAGGAACGCCAGCAAACACTATCCTTTCAAAGGATCCTTGGGACTTCCCTGGTGGCGCAGTGAAGAATCCGCCTGCTAATGCAGGGGACACGGGTTTGATCCCTGGTCTGGGAAGATCCCACATGCCGCAGAGCAACTAAGCCCATGTGCCGCAACTACTGAGCCTGCACTCTAGAGCCCACAAGCCACAACTACTGAGCCCATGTGCCACAACTACTGAAACCCACGTGCCCTAGAGCCCTTGCTCTACAACAAGAAGCCAATGCAATGAGAAACCGGCGCACCACAACAAAGAGTAGCCCCCATTGGCCGCAACTAGAGAAAGCCCGTGCACAGCAACAAAGACCCAACGCAGCCAAAAAAAAAAAAAAAAAAAAAAAAAAAAAAAAAAAAAAAAAAAAAAAAAGCCAGGAATTAAAAAAAAAAAATTCGAAGGATCCTCAAAAACCAAGCAATCTAAAACACAAACGCCAAGATTTACAAGTAGCAGGAAGTATGCTAGGAACTTCAAAATAAAACAACTTGTCTTGCTTATTTCTCCTGGCCATGTACTTCTATTCTTTTCAGACTCTAGCTAGATGGTTCCCCGGTAAGATGTATTTCCTCCTGGATTCATCTCAGGAGATTGACTCTAGCCTGCTCCCCTGGGCCCTCTGGGGGCTGGAATGTACTAAGAGAATGGAACTTAATATCTAAATTAGACCCAAACAAATTTAACCGAGAGGGAAATCAACCTCATAATAATGATATTTAGTATTTTCAAAGCCCCAATAAATAATGTTTAGAGTATCTACCCCTCTTTCCCTTATTGTTAAATAATGTCATCAATAATATATAGGGCACAGATATTTAAACAACTTTCAAATGGGAGAGAGGTACCATAAGCCTGTCTTGGAGAACCAAGGGGAATCAGGAAGGAAACATGATTTTAGAATTAGTCAATGATATCGTGTCTCTTCTTCACCAGATGTGTGATCTTCACCTTAACCTAACATCCCTTATCTTCCGTAGGTCAGTGTAGGTCTTCCTAGTTTTATGGCAAAAGAGAGTTTGAATTTGGAGACAGAAGTCCTTTTTATAGGAAGCTTTGTTAATTCAGTCATGGTTGTCTGTTACTAAAGGCACAGAGGTGATTCTTTTACCAAGTGGGATGGCCTCAAACACACCCTCCAACTTAGCTTTCTTTCATTCTACAAGACCCTGAATTTGAAATTTTTGCGATTGTTCTACTGCCTCTCAAACTGGAGAAGAGCAGAGGGAGAGCGGGTGCCCTTTATTATTAAGTCCTCACAACAATCTCTGCTTTGCAGAAAGAGAGAATAAACAATTTTCCCAACATTACACAGCCACCTTAGGTGGCTTCCAAGTCCGACTTTAGAGTCCACTCAATTCCCAGTAAAATCCTTTACACTCCATCTATAATATGAGGATAACTGAAAATCAACCTCACTTTATAAATAATAATAATGAAAAACCCTAAGTCTGGAGAGCTTGAGTTAATGGATTTATTTTCACTGAACCTGGAAAATTTGGGGTAATTATTGAAGCCAGCTGATTTTCAAAACTGTAAATATTATAAAATAAATTTCAAATGAAAAATGGAGATTAAAAATTTTAATTAATTGTCATATAATTATAAAGCCAACCAGAAGAAAAAGCACCTTCATAGTTTGATCTGTTTTCAGGACACCAAAAAGTGTTGTGTAGTTTGCAAACTTGAATGCAAGAGATGGGTAGTTTTTACCTTGCTATAATTAATTTTTGCACCACGTACCTTTTTTAACATTTGTCTTAAAAATAGTAGAATATGGATATGCAATGTGATTGTATCTCTTTTACCCATAAGGATTTTAGGCGATAACATCATTTCTAGTCTGCAGAGGTTAATGGAATCATATTCACTCTTTCTTCATCGTTGTATTTCTGATAAGCACACAAGGTAAACTGCTGCTTATCTGTGAAGCATGTGCATCATCTGCTGTAACTGAGAATTTTCTTCCTTTGATGGCTTCGTGGTTATCATTCTCAATATAAGTAATTTCAAGTAGCTTCAGTTTTATAGGTTTAATTTCTTGCCAAAGCTTATGAATGAAATTTTTGGTACTCGTGTCTTATGTCAAAGGTACTCTTTTAAGGAACTTTTTTCACAGTAAATTTCATCTTTCAATCACCAAATCAATTACTTTTTAAGGCAACGTCACCTAGACTCACATAACAAAGTGCAGTTATTAGAACAAACAGGTCAGGGACTGAGTGACAGCTGTCTCACGTGCTCCCATTCACCACAGAGTGAAATCTGACGTGTCCCCTGGTCCAGCTAAAAATTCACATACATTTTACTCATTCTTACACTCTTCCAAACGCATATATTTTTTCTCTGGAGGGCTTTAAAAATACCTCGATGGAAGCATGTGGAGTTAACACACTGACTCGGGACAGCAAGGTGCACAGACTGGAAGCCTCCTTCAAGGTAGAATTAATTTTTTTCTCTTACAACTACCAGGTGTTACTTCTCTAAGAGCATTGCGGTAATGAAGGTATCTAGACCATAGGCTATGATACAAATTTGAAAGGTTCCCCATCTGAGTTAAGGGTAGATGACAGTGAAGAGACACAGGGTCAAGCCCAGGCCCTTAGGGGATGACGCCTCTCGCAGGGCAGCCCTCACGGTCTCCGAACTTGTCTCCTCGTGGCCCAGGCATGGGTGAGAATGCCCACACGTGAGGATCACACGAGGGTGTGCCAAGTAACCGCCCAACACGGGACGGCATGAAGCACAGTGCATATCTCACTATTACACTGTCACAACCTACCAAGGTCAAGGCCCCAGAAATCAAAGAAGGAAGAGGCACAAAGTCAGATTTACCGATTCTTCATTCTCAAACTCCAGGTTATACTGCGCTGCTTCTTCAGTCACTGGTTTCTGAACGATGTTCCTACAGACCAGCCAGATGGTCAGACTGGCTATGAACATGCCGACGTCAGGCACAAACACTCGGATCCCGTTGCCAGCATCAGCTCCCTTTAAGCTATGGAGGGGAAAAAAGCGGGGGGTGGGGAGAGGAAATTTAGTTCTTTTTATGTTGCTATGGTTAAACTATCATAAAGTATGTTTAAATCTTCTTAATGACTTTAAAATAAAGAATGCTCAGTTTCTGCCCAGAAGGTACCAGAAAGCTTTTCACCAACCCCGGTCTTATGTAATCTACTAAGATTCAGGAAGCTTCCAGGGAGTTTTAGAAATAGTATAAAGAACCCTAAACCAATTCTCACTCCTAAAACGTGCTAATGAACTAACTTGTTATAAAATAAACCACGTGTCCAGTACAGAGACAGGTGTTTGCAATCTAGCTGGAGCAGTTAAATACTAGATGTACACAAGCAGCTACGAGATATTGGGCCTTGGAAGTAAATCAAAGTTAGAAGGAAAAACGGAGAAGATGTTAAAGCAATCCTTGAATAGGAGCTCTTCATGATTTTGAATACTGATTTGATTTTGTTTTCCATCCTGTTCCAAGAAAGATCGTTAACAGAGAACTCAGAAGATTCGGTTCCAGTGTCAGTAGGACCTGACAGCTGCCTTTCACTGGAGGCCTTCCCCACATCCTGCGTCCTTCCTCTGCCCCAAAGAGATAACACTGTTTGTCTTCTTTATCTCACTGGACTCAGATGAAAGTGACCCAATGTGTATCAGAGAGAAAACTTGTTTAGGGACAGGAAGCAGAAGATAGGAAAGTATGCATGTAAAGATACATAGTTTTCCATATACACTTCACGTGATGAAATACATACTGTAGTCATTTACATTGGATATGTGATATATTGGTAAAAACATAATAAACAGCAAGACCCCATCACCTAGAAATAACCATGTTAACATTTCAGTAAACTAAAACATCATATGATATCGCTTATATGTGGACTCTAAAAACATGACACAAATAAACTTATTTACAAAACAGAAATAGACTCACAGACATTGAAAACAAACTTGTGGTTACCAAAGGGGAAAGGTGGGGAAGGGATAGATTAGGAATTTGGGATTAACATACACACACTACGGTACATAAAACAGATAATCAACAAGGACCTACTGTATAGCACAGGGAACTCTACCCAATACTCTGTAAAAATCTATATGGGAAAAGAATCTGAAAAAGAATAGATATGTATACATATATATGTATATATAACTGAATCACTTTGCTGTATACCTGAAACTAACACAACATTGTAAATCGACTATATTTCAATAAAATTTTTAAAAATTAGTAATAATATCTACCACTTACTGAGCAATTGCTTTGTGCTAAGAGCTTCGTACATATTATTTAGTCCAACCAATCACCTTAAAGATTTAGGCATTATTACTTATCCTCCTTGTACATATGAAAAAACGAAGGCACCAAAAGGTAAACTTACTTCCCTAAAGTCACACAGAGAGTCAGAGAGAGAACAGAATTATCCTCAAGCTCCCTGTAAGTGCAAAGTTTATGTTGTCAACCACTGCATCCTCCTGTACGTATCCCCATGGCCTTCCCTTCCAGTCTTCCTTCTGTGCATGGACATGCATTCTTAGAGTTAACCAAACTAGTCTCACACTTTACCTATGGATTTCGACAATGATTTGTTCATTTAATACATCACTCACGTTTTCACAGCTCACTGAAGATTTTTAAGCCTCACCACACTCACAGTCAGACAGGATTTACTTAACTAGTCCACTACTGTTGTACATTTAGAATATTTCCATCCATTTGTTACTATAATATAAATAAAAGTTAAATCTTCATTAAGTAAAGAGTCTTCTAATCCAAGATCTTCTAGGAAGAATTCCTTAGACCAGTCTAACTGGCTTTTTATAAAAATGGTCTGGAAGAGGGCACCCCGTGTAGAAGCTTCGATTTTCCACATGACTTTAAACTCTTCTGAACAGAGAAACATGAAAGTGATGAGACATCCCTTTACTTCCATAAATAAAACACATGTGGTTGTGTGAAAGATTTCTAAAAATGGCAAGTTCCTTTCATATGGGTTGAGTAAGTCAATTACGAAAACTTCATCCAAACTTTATAATTACTTATGAAACTTATAATCCAGAATCGTAAAGATGAAACCTGATGATTGATTTCATCATAATAAAAATGTAGAGGTTTGCTGTCTACTTTTAAAGTACATCTAACATGATCAGACAGAGCAAAGGAGAATTAATATCACCAGAATGAGAACTCGGAGAAAGGCCAGAAAACAAAGGCCAGGCTGGGGTGGGGTAGGGGTGTTTCCTGTGTGGGGCTGTCAGGGGAGCTGGTGGGTCCTTCCCGGGTGGATTTGGGGGGATAAATTATTGTGGCTCCTTTGTGGAAAATGAGTTGACCATGGCATTTTATGAAAAGCACCAACCAAGCAGACTGGAGGGGAAAGAGTTCTTACAGAAAGCCAGCAGCACCGGGCTCCTCCCACCTGTTCTCTGCAGGCGCCTCCCAATTTGCAAACAGTGGCTTTGAGGCTACAGCCCCAGCTTTGTGCTTCTTGGTCCCCAAAGAGACACTCGATAGCCCACATACACTAAGGGAGTAAATGAACGCAGCTTGCAAAAGCAATCCTCCACCTGCTGTGACAGAATTCAGCTCCTGGATCCAGGACTGGGCTGCAATCCAACTCAGAATGGAATCATTCAGCCACAGAGGTGCCAACCTATTAACTGAGGCTCTCGGGTCCCGAGCTAACAAAGCAGCACATTCATGGCACTGCCTAGCGGACACAATGAGCCTTCAGAAGACGATAACATGGGCCGTGGACAATGGACAAAGTCCAACCGATATGTCCTGTGGGGACCATCTTATCACTAAAGTCTCCTTCACTGTCTAGACCAGTGTCTACTGAGTTAACATTAATCAGAGCGTTAGTCCTCAGAAATGCTGCAAATTAAAGCAAAACAAGACAAAACGAAAGGAGAAAAAAAACAGTTGCTGGTCAAATAAGTGTTAGAAAATCACAACGAATATTATTATAGTAAAGAACTTGAGAAGTTCTGTAGTAAAACAGTAACTCTGAGCTTACTTAAGCCTCCGTTTCCCACATTTATTTGACCACAAACCATTTCTTAGTTTTTATCTAACACCTATTACATTCTGCCGAGCTAGTGCTCACGGCGCAAGCTTTAGAAAATGCTGACTCAGTGTCTCCTCGCTGGTCTATAGGTTTGATCACAATGAATGGACAATTGGGAAACTATACCAACGTGTAGCTAATCTTTATACGTTTGGCTTTGAATAAGCCCCTAATAACTGCAGTCAGTGACACCTCATTCCTCTCCCTCAGCCCTCCTCCCATCTATCCACCCACTCACTCAGGAAGTCACTGCAGCCATGGAGCTGGAAGAAACCAGAAAAGATCTAGTCCATTTCCTCATCTTGCAAAGAAGAAACCGACCCAGGGTAGGCTGAAGCCTGGACCAAATGCACAGCTGGCGGCAGAGCCCTTGTTGGGAGCTGCCACTCACTGCACTTGCCCCCGCTTCTACCTGGTGCCGCAGCTTCCCCCCAATCACGGCTCCCACCGCAAGGCCCGATGGCCCATTCCAACCCCATCCCATGCCGCCTCTGTGCTGCGCTGGACAAATCCGCTCCCAGATCCACTCCCCCTGCTTTCCTTCCCTCTCCTGTCTACTTCTCCACCTCCCTCTGGACACCCCCAAAGGCTCACCTTGCTGGGAGATCCCCCAAGGGAGTGTGGGGCTGGGCTGTGCCCACCAGGCTCCTCTTCTCTGCCTCCCGCTTAAATGTTGATGAGTTGGCAAGGTCTGGTCCTCACTTATTTTTTTCTAACTCCACACGGCAGACCTGAATGACACACTCACCACCGAGGCTCCACTGAGCACCTGCACGACGACTTAGCAGCCTGCACACCCAGCCCCAGCATGCCCCCAAGACCCACTTCCTACCAGACATCTCCACGCAGTATTCAACAGCTCTTTACAACTAAACGCTATCTTCATTCCAAAATCTGCTCTTCCTCCCTTATTCCTCACCTTGAAAGATGGCGCTGTCACCAGTGTAGCAACCTGGACAGGACCTGGGCCCTGCCATCAGTCACAGGAAACCTGGAGATTCTGTCTCCATGCCTGTGTGTCTCTTCCCCGCCCTCCTCTATTTTGGCTTCTGGATTATTGAACAGCATCCTTGTCACTTTGCCTCAGGGCGTCCCCTCTGCTAAGCAGGCCTCCGCATTAGCACCCAAGCTTCACTTTTAGAAGCACAGGTTGGGCATGCCCACCGCCCTGCTGACGAGAAAGGTCCATAGTCCCAAGCACACCCGCGAGGCCCTCGGTATTGCAGGCCCGCCTGCCTTGTCTCTTGCTATGACTTCCTTGGACCTCAAATTCCACCTACGCTGACCGCATACACCAGGACAGGCAGGTGTTTGTTCCTCCGAGTCAGTGTGCGATCTTCCCCCTTGGACCACAACGCCCTTCTCACACACGCTTCCAGGGCGCCCTCATCAGTCAAGACTCACCTCCCACACCTCCACCTCGAAGCCTGTCCACCACCTGCCACCTTTAGATACCTAAATGCCTATGTACGCCTAATACTTTATGTCGCTACCTTGTTTGTGAATCTCTGTATCCAGGAGGACTATATATATATATATATATATATATATATATATATATATATGTATGTTTACATATTACGTTTGTGTGTGTGTGTGTGTGTGTGTGTGTGGTACGGTGTGTGCTCTGAGTACAGGCTGGCAGAATTAATGTTATCTCCAAATATTTACTCTTTCCTTCCTATGACAATAGTTTGTGCAAAGTACTATAGAAGAATTAGATCTGCTGTCTGCCACAAAGAGCCCCGCACTTTAGCTCGGGGAAGGTAAAGTACAAAGGGCAGGACACGTCACTGTGGTCTGGGGAACAGCTGAAGATCGAGGGGTTGACGAGTAACATCTTAATTATTTGGACACAATTTAATTTTCAAAATTGGAAATTATAAGCCATTCAGAATACATATGCAGTTTTATTAAA